ATCTGCAGCCAGCCCAGGCTCGCCAACTAGGGCTCGTGGGGCTGTTTCATTGCTGTGTAGACTTCTGGACTCAGCTAGAGCTCAGGCTCTAGAACTCAGTGAGGTGGGACGGTCCCAGAGCTCAGGCTTCCGCCCAAGCCTGGAAGTCTACACAGCAATGAAACAGCCCAAGCCCGGTGAGCTTGAGTTGGCTGACATGGGCCAGCCGGGTGTTTTTCTTTGCTGTGTAGGCAAGTACTGGGTGAGTTGGGTCTGTGGCCAGGTTTTTTCTCCTTCACACACCTGCTAGCACCTGGAGGCTAGTGTGCTCCCCTTTTTGAATGATATAGTCTGCTTCTAAGTATGCTCCTCCTATGGTCCCTAAAGAGGTCATATGCCTACCTCGGCTCCACACATGCTTGCCTTCAGCCACTACATCTTTCCCTCCAACATCCAGCTCACTGCCAGTGATAGATACCTAAAATGTAAATAACTTGTATTAACAGATTTTAATTAGTCAGGAGTCAAGAAGTTGTCTCAAGAGGAAGCTGTAGCAGAAAACACTTCAAGTACTTAACAACAGATTTAAAATAAAGGTTTTTAAAATGTTGCCTCCATTCACACAATGAGTGTTAAAACATATTGTCATAAAATAAAATCAAAGAAGATAATTAAAATGGTGATACTGACAAAAAGGATACAAAATACAAAGTGCTTTAATCCATTGATTCTTAGCTGCAAAGAAAGCTTTTAAAAAGACATTTTCCTTCTTGTATTGGATGGATCAAGTGTCTTCAGCCTCTAATTTTGTAGCACTAAACTATTAGTTTTAATACAGCAAAAGTAAGAAAAAGCCATCCAAATACAAAAATACACAATGACCTGATTTTAGTAAGACTTTGGTTAGTCAGACAGGCAGTAATATACATGTATTTAAAGAGAACCTGAGCTTCTCCTAAATCCCCCCTCCGAAAAAAATAATTTTGTTGCTGCCCCCTTACAAGAGTAGACAAGTCGCCTCCGTTAGGACTTGTCTACACAGCATGGCAAAGCACGTTAGAGGGTGGTGATTTGTACAGTGCTCTAACTGCCCATGTAGATCCTGTTGGCACAAACTAAAAGGTGCCTAGCTCCGTTCGGATTAACATAGTGGGGCAGTGCACTACAAGCCACAGAAAAGGATAAAAAGGATTCATTTCAGGATAGTGTGTCACAATTTGCACTTTTAAAAGAAAGAAAATTACTGCAAATACCAATAATTAAATAAGTATCATTGGTCTGATTTTCACAAGCAAGGAAATCCAAAATCAGGGACAGAATTCTGCTGTAGGGAGGAGGAGTGGGCGTTGGGGGGGGGCGGTCTCTGATAAGAATGTGATTTTAGCACCCAATCTTGGAGGTGCTGGATCGCTGAACTGGAGCCATAAAATTGACAAGATTAGTCCTCCCTGCTCCCAGTCAGGCTGCTACCTGCTGCCTGGGCTCCCCGCTCAGTGCTGGGCTGCTCCCGGGGTCCTGGCTCCACACTGGGAGCCTGGATGCACCAAGGCTCCTGGCTTCCCACTAATATAGATTGACTTAAATTTTTTGTGTAGACATGCCCTAAGTGCCTAAAATCCCTTCTGAAAATTAGTTGTTGCAATGCTGAGTGCTCAACACCTAAAAAGCTTTAAAAATCTGGGCCAAAGTGACTTGGCAAAATCCCATTTTTAAAGGTGACTTAGGCCTTGCAATGCCTAAATACCTTTAAAAAGCCAGGCCCATAGGTCAAGCAGGCAGCTTTCTTAAGCTATTCAGGCCTGAAAAAGTCCCCCTTTGACAGTTATTTATTAGTATATAGAAATCTAATAAAGAAATGGAAAATTAAGCCTGTGAACTACTTTTTGGAAGGAGGTGGAGGAAATGTTGCACACTAATGAACTATGCATAAAGTTATCTAAGAAATCCCCAGGCAGAACAAGCCATTTCAAGAAGCACAGTAGAAATCGGATTGGCTTGCAATTGTGTGTCTCAGCTAGGACTTTGTACTTAGAACCTGCGTCTGCAAACATGATTATATTCCTCTGTTCTTAATGAGGGGTGTGTGTGTCTACATGGCAATGTAAGCCCAGGGTTTGAACTCAGGTTCAAGCCTAACTCCCCTTCTATCTATGCACAAATTGCACCAACCCAGAGTTCAGATCCCACAGGGATGGATGGACTGAGCCTGAGTCAAGACACCTCCACTGGATTCGTGTTCTGGGACGCTGCCAAAAGTATTGCGCAATTCCACAGATTGACTTTATTTGTCCTCTGGACAGTGAAGTTTGGTGGACAGTCAAGTTTTTCCCCACACTACACCACGAACAATGGGCTAGAGATGCCACCTTTTTGGAGGGCGCTACGAAGTCTGGGACATGGGGGATTGGACCTTGGCCAGCATAATGCAACGTAGACACTGGAGCCCCAGGTTGGGACCCAGAGTTCAACAATTCTTAACCTGGGGTACAAATGAATGTAGATGCTCAAACCCTAGGTTAACAAACCCAGGGTCTGCTAGCTCGAGTTCTACTAACCCTGGGCTTACATTGCAGCGTAGACATACTCCTAGTGGCCTCAAAAAGAACAGGAGTACTTGTGGCACCTTAGAGACTAACAAATTTATTAGAGCATAAGCTTTCGTGGGCTACAGCCCACTTCTTCGGATGCATATAGAGTGGAACATATATTGAGGAGATATATATATACACGCATACAGAGAGCATGAACAGGTGGGAGTTGTCTTACCAACTCTGAGAGGCCAATTAAGTAAGAGGAAAAAAATAAATAAACTTTTGAAGTGATAATCAAGCTAGCCCAGTACAGACAGTTTGCCAAGAAGTGTGAGAATACTTACAAAGGAGATAGATTCAATGTTTGTAATGGCTCAGCCATTCCCAGTCCTTATTCAATCCTGAGTTGATTGTATCTAGTTT